AGGCTGACGCCACGGCACTCACTCTAACCAGGGCAACAGAGTGAGACTGTGTCAAAAAAAAAAAATCGGCAGGGGTGATTACCGGTATTTAGGATTCCGTGGGTCTGTCCTGCAAGGCCTAGCAAGCGACTTACTATTTTCCCGAGGCCTGGGAAGGATTTGAACACCTGTTCGTATGTGACACCAGGGTCACAGATGTCTCCTGGGGGTTGCTGGGCCAGCACGGGGGCTGAGGGCCGCGTCCCTGGGACGTTCCGGAAGGAAGCTCTCTTCCCCTGCAAGGTCTCCCGCCCCGACACGCCGCAGTCCGCAGGTCCTCGCCCCATGCGAGGCGGAGCCGGCAGGGCTGCTCTCAGAGGGCATCGTGGGCACCTTGCTGGCTCTTCTTGAAAACACGGCTTCCGAGGACGAGGGTGGGGGGCGCAGGGCGTCGGGCGGAGGGACGGGCGGGTGTCCTGGGCCCGGGAGGACGACGTGTCCCTCTCCTCCCCGCAGAGAGGCTGAGAGGGCCTTGTGCAGAGGCAAGAACGTGTCCTGCCCCATGGTCGCCCGCAGCTACAGGGCGAAGGTGCCCTCCCATCTGACGCTGACGCCCAAGGGGGACCCTCACGGCCCGCACCCCGCAGGTGCGCCGACGCCCGCGGGCCGGCGCTCTCAGGAGTGGAGGGCGGCCAGGAAGGCGGCGAAGCTGCACTACAGCTTCTGCGACGGCTCCTCCTTTGTCTAGTATCCTTTGTCCATCCCGGCCTCGCCGCGACGAGCCTCGGGTCCTCCTTGGCTTTCGGTCGACCGTGACGCCTGGCGCCGGGGCCCCGGGTGTTAAGGGTGAGGCCGGGGCGGGCTCGGGAGGGGACAGGAGGAAGCAGTGAGTTTCGAGCCTCCGGTTCGGTTCAGATCGGCACGGACACGCCGACCACCAGCTGCCCCTGCGGAGCTTTCCGGCGCAGGCCGGGGACGCGGACACGGCCCTGCCTCTGCGGCCCTCCCAGGCCAGATGAGGTTAGAGACGCAGAAAACTCGCCTCCCGGGGAGAAGAGACCGGCGAGGCCCCAAGCCCTCGGGGGTCTTCCTCCTTCCGTCCCTGGTCCAGGCACACAGCGGGGGTGACGTCACACAGAATGTCACGGAGGCAAGACAGAGAGTCACTCGTTTCTGTCCCTTCATCGCAGACACAGGGAAACAGACCCAAAAGAGTGGTCCGACATACTCAGCGTCGAGAGGAATTTGTGGCCAAGCCAGGGCTGCGTCAGGGCCTCCTGGCCTCAGTTTGGGGTCCTCTCCAGGTGTCGTTCTCATGCCTCTGACCGTTTCCTTCAGCGGAGCGCAGGGTAGACTTGCCCTGGTGTTCTCTAGCGGCACTCTAGCCTGGGCGACAGAGCAAGATTCTGTCCCAAAAAAAAAAAAATCAGTTGCCTGTAGATGTCTGGGTTCTGTGATCACCCAACTGATTTTCGGTTCATTTTATGAAGATGCTTTCCTGCGTGAATAGTTGTTCAATTTTGTATTCCTGCAGGCGGAACTCTGCAAGTTGGTTCTGGTTTTTATAAGAGAGAGTGTCACTCTGTCTCACTCTGTAGTGGCATCAGCCTCACTCACAGCAACCTCCAATTCCTGGGCTCAAGCGATCCTCCTGCCTCAGCCTCCCGAGTAGCTGGGACTACAGGCATGCGCCACCATGCCCGGCTAATT